CAGGAGCGGCCTCATACTAAACAGCAAAGTGACGAGAACCCATATATAGAATCCCTTTTTTCTTCCATTTTCCTCCCCAATCCTGGAAAAGGCCAAACTCGAAAACACGGGCAGGTGCCTGCAAAGCAATTCGAAAACTGGAAGTGGGCGAGACGCTGCAGTCCTTGGAGGAGCGGAGAAAAGCGGTCCCAACGCAGACGACATGACCCGAGCAGTGGGACATTTGCGGTCGCGAAAACAACCGCCGACGGAGACGACCGAGAACAGCTGCAAACGTTTAGAGTTGGCAAAGGAACCTTCAAGCTGAAAACGTCTTCCACTTGAAGGTTTCAACATTTACGGCTTGGACACCACGGTTTGGTGCTTGTTCTTTTGAGCGGCCAGGCGCTAAGAGGGCTTCAGTGTTCTGACGGTGAAGATCCCCTCCAGTGAACGGGACGGATGTCGTTCGTTGGGAGGAGCCACAGCAAGATGAGAGCAGGAGTTTGACCCGGATCAAGGCAGATGTTGGCAGATGGCCGGGGCCAACTTGCTGAAGGGCAGCTTCAGATGATTCAAAACGATGAACATAAACATCCCAGTATATCCCAGTTGCCCTACAAAATGGGAGGTCTTGGGACCTCTATCAGACCTCCATTTTATAGCACAACAGCTTTTGGCTAAACACAAGAGAGAACGTTGAACCTTTCAATGCAACTTTGGGGCTGTCATTGTTGTTTGTTGTGCATGTTAGAGGGGTCCGTGTTCGGACCTGCTGCACACTGTTGGGAAAAAAGTAAGAAACGGGTCTTTGCGATTGCCGCGATGTTTTTGTAACAAAAACATTATCCACGACCAAACCTTAGGATGTGTTGAAACATGTTGATTGATACAGTCAACACAGCAGGTCCATAGTCCATGATCGATCCATGACCAATGCCGCTGTGTTCGCTGCATCTCGATGTGAAAGTTTTGGACAGGTGAAAGCGCTCTCGGACGGTTGGTGCACTTAGCGCTCTCAGACGGTTGGATTGCCGTAATTAGACAGTAGGTTGTCCTCTTGTGCTTAGCTTATTGCTGGACAGGTTCCATTTTCATGATAATATATGTGTTTCCTAGGGGGGCAGGATTTAACTTAAGAAGAAGGCACTACGTAAGAAGATATGATGTGTTAAAATCCTGTTAACAACCTGCAATAAATACCGTGCATTAGAGAAAGATTCGTGGACGATGAATCAATGAACGGCAAGCTTTTTGCCTGTAAGATTCACCTTCCATAACTTCAGTCTTCATTCTCCTACAACAAAATCAAAAGGAATTTTGTTTGATGACAGGACAGGGAACTCCAAAACGCTTGCCCACAAATGTCCAATGCCAACATGACCCGCCTGTGCCTTTGAGGAAAAGAGGGCTGGGCCACCTCCCAGGGAAACCAAGGCGAAGCCTCCGTCCGTCCGGTCGAGTTCCTGCCTCGTTCTCGTTGGATTGGTGGATTGGACGGAGCTGGACCGTTTGATTGGGTCACCTGGACTGGACTGACCTAGCTTACGTTAGACACCAGTCGACTGTATAATAGGTCTTCATTGGACACCTTAAAGTCTAGGCAGGTGAAGTTGCACTTCAATGGGTGACCCGACGTTGGCTGCGCCAAAAGCAATGCGAAGTCACATTGGGGCCGCGATGCGCAGCGTGGTCGCAGACCGTCGCAGGGGTCGCCCGTCGCGTCGATCGAACAGCGAAGACGATCGAACGCCAGGAACCCTCTACGTCATGGAGACCAACCGACACTTCACCTGTGCGGAAAGTGTCCCCGCCCTCAGTGCGCCAAGCCCCAACAGGCGTCCTGAGTTCGGGAGACATCGGAGTTGGCCAAAACCCTTTGACCAGATTTCGTCTTGGTCAGTCTTCCGGACTTTGTATGGAAAGATGGTGTCGGCTTGTGACCCCTGTTCGATCGTCGTCCGACCAATGCCCGCCCAGGTTGACTTGGAGGCGTCGCCAGGCAAGGCCTTGCGAAGACTGGAGGTCGGAGAGAGTGTGGTGGCCCAGCAGTTGAGGGCGTCAGACAGAACGTCGAGTCGGGCGTTCACGATGGGGCTCTCCCCGCAATTCCTTCGCTGCACTGGGAACCCTTGAAGGTTACAGCGGTGCCAGGGGAGGTGATTTAAAATTATAGGCTGAAATGAAGAGCTCAGGCTTTGGAGACATTTGGAGACTAGAGCTTGCAGACGCACTTTTTGCCTCTTTTTACCACATGGAACTTCGAAATTCTTTGTTTTCCATTCAATTCCTCTTTGGTGAGCCCCCTCCGTCGGCCTCCGTCCTTCGAACTCGCGTGCACCGGCCTCACCGACACCGGCCGAGCGATGAAGCGGACCTCGCGACCGGGCGGACCCAGGTTTCGAGCTCCTCCAAGACCCCACGGTGGAGATGAGACCAGGCGGAAAAAGCCGAGACTCCGACGTCCAGACTCCTTTTCGGCAGATGGAGGAGCTGCATCAGGATGGATGATGGTGCAATGTTGCATCTAGGATTATCTATTGGGTCTGTCCTATGATCCACTGTTACAGGTATTAGGATAGACTCCAATGATCTATATTAGGAGGTTCTTGATGTCGTGGTTTTGAACCAGAGCCCATATTAGGGTCATGGATGGTCATGGATTGCGGGTCATGTGACCCACCTAGCTCGTCCAAGCATTGGTCGAAATCAACCGGCCGAAGATCAAGCAATTCAGACGACACGGTGAGACGATGACGACGTCTCTCATCTCAGTTTCTTATCGGTTTTACGTCATGCCATGGCTTGGTATATCTTGATATATCTTGGTACCCTCTGACTCACTAACTTGGAAGTGGACGTTCTGGCCTCTTGGAAGACGACTTTCCTTTACAAACAGCGGTGTTTTCCACTTCCATGTTAGTGAGTCGGAGTGTATCATTTGGTCTCGTCTCGGAGCCATCTCACCATCGCGATTCCTCCTGGTCTTGCAGGTTTGCTGGTCTCGTCGACTTGGGTGGTCCTCCCATCTTCCCGTTTCGCCAGGCAAGAGATTTGCCCGGGGCCGCTGCTCATCCAATGCGCAACCAGGTGCGGCGATGTGGCCTCTTCAGGATCCTTCAAGGCCCTCAAGGCTTAACTTAAATAAAACAGTTCCCAGGTCTGTGGAAGCACTCGGAGCCTTAGGGTTTCTGTTTGCACCTGCTGAGGCCTCTCTCCACCTTGAGGTCCTTCTCTCCGGGTGGGTTCAACATTAGATTCTCCACCAACCTCAGGGCGGGCCCCAATCAGCCACGGTCATCACTTGCAGTCGCCCCCTGCCCAAAAGCCCGCAGTCGCAGCTACCTTTCACCGGTGAGGCGAGGGCTGGTTCGCCCTTGGCGACCACGTTCAGCCTTGGACACATCGCCAGGACCGACCGATTCGTCGCACCGATCTCCACGTGCAAAACGGTGAGGAACGTTTGTTTCCAGACACTCCATGTATGGCATAGTTTAGGGGGGGGTCAATGTAGCCGTATATATATATATATATATATATCGCATATACATGGAGGGTTAGTCTGGGGTTGTTGGCGTTGCTTGGGCCTTCGTGAAAGTCGATTCGCGTACGAAAGGTAATCATAATATAGACTTCATGAGTAAATGGAGTTGGGCCTCTATCTTATAACTTGCATAGAGGGCGAACGGTAAAGAGTTTCCGGCAGGGTGTGGCTGTCATACTCATGTAGTCGGAGTGGAGATGTTGGATGATTCTTTAATGTTCTTTAATCGTTCACCTGTTTGGATTTTTTCGCGGTGAGAAGTTGCATGACTTCTTAAAGGCCCGACCCTTCCGGACTTCCCCATACGAGTCTGTCCATGGTGCGCAGGAGCTGGCCTCCAATTCCGCAGTCCCTAGTTAGGTCACAGATCCAGCAATGGATTTGGCGAAGAAAAAAGGGCCTCTTCAGGGTGCGGGAACTCCTACGTCGAAGGTGCGGGACGTTTGCATGCCCTGAAACATGCCGAAACTGGGGCCGCTCACCACCGGCCATCACCTCGCCCCAGATGGAGAAAGCGATCATTTGTTTTGGGATTTGGATGATTTTGGGACCAAGCGATCATTTGGTAGTATTTGGTAATTTGGGTGGGACCATGGGTGAAAGCGATCCTTTGTTTTGGATATGTTTGGATGATTTTGGGACTGAACCCTTTTGACCAAACTGCTGGCGAGTGATGCATGTTTTGTGCTCATACCGTATACCCTACCATTCTGGGCCCGTGGGGCAATATGGCTGTGGCTCAAGATGAAGCCTTCTTGCATGGCAATGACCCAGTCATGATAGAAGATGTCGCTTGCATCCATGCTAACAACGCAGCTTACATCTATGTTTACATGCACTGGAAGTGGAGGCCTAGGCCTCGTTCAGTCCTAACGAACCAGGAACGTTGTTCCCCGAGCCCTTTAGCTGCAGCGATGGCGATGTTCCTTGTTTTCACTGTCAGGGACTGAAGGATGGGGCATGTCACACAACACCACGGTGCAGGATGTACACCGAGACAGGGATGTGGGGGAAACACGAGTGATTTAGAACAGAGGAATGATGAGGATCCGCAGCACTTTGGACTGGCTCACTCTGCAGATGTGCGCATCACTGCCATATTCGTGGGCAAGTCCAGCCCAGCAGGATTGATAGGGAAACATACTGTAATAAGATATAAAAAGTATATAATAAGTATAATGAATAACTAGGTGAACTATTCAATGAAACAAATGAAGCTGGAACATTTCCCTGGACAGTCCTCCGTCTCTTCTGTGTTTTTGGAGCCCCGAAGTCCCACTAAAAGGGATCTATATACCTTCCCCAACAAAACAAAGCCTATCAACCCCATTCCCTAGAAATCCAAAGACTATACTTTTCCATAGTGAAGTAAAGGACAGTCCCTTTCAGATACCCTAAAGACATCTAAAGACAATTCTTTTTGTAGTCTTTGACTCCCGGCATTGCACAGACTTCCGGGCGACGGTACGGACACTCCATGCCGCCATGGGTACCGGCGATTGGCGGCCTGGGCCTCGCTCTTTGGTCCACCCCCACCGGCTCTCTCGCAGCCTATTCCCATCTGCGAGAGCGGAGCCAGCTGCCCTGGCAATCCGAATCCAAACAAGATCCTTTGCTTGTGATTCAGGTGGTTTTCCATGAGTCTCCCACCCTTTGAAATATAATCATACCAAAACATCCCACCTTCCTTAGATACCTTCTTTTTATTTGGAACTAGTCTAGTGTCGAGTTGCTCCCAACTGTAGAAGGATTTTCCACGTCACCAGCTGTTCTTAAACGCGAAGACCTTTCTCTGAGTCTCTATCCACAATGGGCCACAGGATGAGAAGCTGGTGGAGCACATTTTTCGTAACCGGCGTGAGGGCTTTTTCGTGGAGCTGGGTGCGGCAGATGGGAAGCACTTCTCAAACACCTATGCCTTGGAACACGGGATGAACTGGCCTCTTGAGATGAGAGGCATGTTTTCATGTTTTGTGTTTGTTTGCCTCAGTGTGTTCCCATATCTCCAGGTTTTGCGTCTGAATCCATTGGAGGTTTGCTTTCGATCGCATGTGTGGCGTTTTGTGTTGAACGATCCTAGTGAGACATTGAGAACCATCCATTTGAAGAGGGAAGTCAAGTGACAGACATATTGCCTGATGTGTCCAGCATCATGTCATGCGTCCAAGTTTCATCGGCATGCCGCAGTCAGCGACAAAAGAATGGTCACGACAACAGGGACCTGAAAGGCGTCCGACACCACCAACAGAGGTTAAGTGACCTTACAGGACCCTACTGGAGTACCTATAGGAGAGTCGAACTAGGGTTCTTCCACCTTTGCTGGCTATAGGGTTCTTCAACCCTTTGAAGGTTTCCACAAAATCCTTAGTTGATTCGGGATTCAACCTATTAAATTAATGGTGTGCCAGGAAGCCTAGGGTATAGGGTGCTTCCACCTCTGGCGGCTCCAAAAGTAGACTCCACCCCACTCGGAGCCGAGAACCGCGACGGCGACGACGCTGGAGGTCAGGGATTCTCATTGAGCCCGTGGAGTCTCAGGTCCGACTGTGCCGAGAACATCGTCCCCGATCTGTGACTGGGCGGAGTCTGTGACTGGGTTTTTTTGGGACTGAAGAGGTGTGGGGGGCGAAACGGTGAAACCCAAAAGCCTGGTACACACACCCCGCCCCCTGGTACACTCCAAAGACTCCCAAACATCTATCAGCAACTACACCTCCCCTTGGTCAGACCATGTTAGACCCGGTGATGTTTCAAAGTTTCTATCTCAGCCCTGCTATGATTCATTGTGATTCATCCGTCCGCACCGGATTCTTCCGATGTAGACCGAGGTCTGTGTCCATGCGTGTGTGGCAAAGGAGGCTGGAAGCCAGGAGTTTTTCGAAGACCAGGCCATCTTGGAAAGTGGCTTGGCCAGATATCGAAATCATCCTGTTGGCCCGTTAGATGTGCAGAGGCAAGTGCCATGCCTGACTTTACCAGAGATCCTTGGCTGACTTGCCAGGGCGAGGGCAGGGCGCCCATCCGAGTGGGCGAGGGCAGGGCTGGAGCTGGTTGCTTCGCCTCACTGGACGACCGAGACGGTGCCCAACGCAACACCGAGGTGTTCGGCGCCGATGTTCACACCGTTTTGCGGCATAGCTAGCATAGTTAGCCATACCACAAGTCACAGGTGGTGTTTAGTCCGGCACAGTGAGCTGGATGTGACAGGGGCACCCCGAGCTCTGTGACTGGCCATCTAGTTCTGGGGGGAGGCCACCCACTGGCCATGCGCATGGACTGGCCATGGTCACTCACGTCGGGCCCAGGATTTTGGATCAATACCATGCACCGCCTGAAATCGATTGGCTCAGCTTGGACGTGGAAGGCGCCGAATTGGAGGTCCTTCAGCCTCTCTTTCACGACGCCACGTCCCGTTGGAAGGTGGACGTGATCTCCATGGAAGCGAGGGCAGCAGATGTGATTGCAAAGCTGCACTTCATGGGACAGAATGATTATCAACTCATGGACAGGACCTGGTCTAGTCGGATGGGTCTGGTCAGTCTGGTCTGTTTGATGTCAGGGCCCCCCTAAACCACCAACAGAGATGCAACAGGCTTTTGATGCCTTTGACTAGACCAACCGACAACCGATCAGAATAGGTGGATATTGGAGGTCAGGGGTGTCTATAAACCAAGCTTTTCCGTGGTGCTGGTCATTTGTGCCTTGCAAGTTTCCTTCACAGAATAGACAATAGACTTACTGTAATAGTTTAGGTTTCCTGTGCAAGTTTAGTGTTTGGACTTAGTTCAGGGGGGAGTTCCTTCACAAGCTTCTCGTCCAGACCATTGAAGCGAAGCTTTTCGTCGAGCCTCGCGCCCTCTATCCCGAACTAGGCCCCCCTGTGATTTGGGGAACCGCCGCAGTAAAGGAAATTCATGGAAATTTCCTTTTGGCTGGAGTACCTCAAAAACCACTGGAAGAAGCCCAGAAATAGTCTTGGAACATCTTGGACCCTCCCCTGTTGATGTGTTTCATTTTCTTTTTCCTGCAGGATTGGTGATGATATCTACGTGTCCACGTGGAGCGCCTTGGAAACCTCCTGCGGCCGCCCTCCGGCGGCGCAGCGGCTCACACCGCGCTTCGCCCTGGAAAGGGTCCAGGAGCGGATTCGGCGGAAGGAGTGGATCAACGAGACCGAACGGCGCACGTTCTTGAGGTTGGCACAGCTGGCGGAAGAACGGCACTGCAAGGCTGAGAGCTTGAGTTACTTGTTGTGGAGCACCTTGTTAAGCCTTGATGCGGCCAACTTGGTTTGCAGAGGAGATGGCTTCATGAACGAAACGGCCTTATATCTGAAGCTTGCTCCACTGACCTTCGATGATTGTTCGCCCTTCTTCGCCCTACCACTCAGCCGCATCTAGGTGATGGTTTCGGATATGTTGGTGTTTCAACCCAACCACTTGGGGATGAAGAAGGACCCTTTGGGTGGGTTGAACAGTGGGTGAAACACCAACCAGGTGGGTCTTCACACACCAACCAGGCATGGACTTCGTCTTGGTGCTGATGACTCGCTGGCCGATCTTCGAAGAACTTCAGCTGCTCAGCGAACGCTTGGCATCTCGTGAGAACAACTTTGGGAACGAAGGCTGTGACTTGTATCGCCGGGATCTTCCACCGCCAGACTTCCTATTGAACGTTGCCTGACCGGAAATAAAAGAACACCCGAGGTCTGAACATGGTCCCCTGAAAAAAGTCTCCTAGGGTCCTAGATGGTTTGGATGAGTTGGGCCAGAACCGGTCTACACCCTACACATCCCTACACCTCCAAGCACCTCCTCAGATTCGGTATGACTGGACCCGAACATGGCACCCGGGCCCCCAGTCCCACCTTCGAAACGGTTCGGTACGACTGGAAGTCTAGGGACATGTTTGCCAGTTCCTTTTTCATCGTTTCTCTTTGGCTCGTTTCGTCCCTTGGCTCGTTTGGTTCGGTTAGTCCGGTTCGTCCCATGGAGTCCCTGAAGGTATCCATTCCAGGGCCCCTTCCAACCACCGATCGCCCCCCAACTGGACAAGGTCTTGTCGCGAATGTCCATTCGCCCCCCAAGACCCAACCATTTGAAAGGAATCAGTAAATATGCCAGTCTCATGGAATCTTTGATCGAGTTTCCTTCTGAAAACGCCTGAAGATTCGTTTTGCAGACGCAAATGGTCAATAGGTTTGGCCTCCGCGCTTGCGTGATACTACCTTGATGTGTGGCGGCTTACGTTTGGCGCTGGTCTACTTGGAGAAGGTCCTCCAACTGCAGGGCCATGCTCCGGGACGAAATCTCACCAACTTTTGGAAGAAGAGCGTTCGGGTTGCGGAACGCTCCTTGAAGTCTTTAGCGTCTGGCCCTGAGTTGCTTCAGAACACCGGATGTGGAGATCATCCCTTCTGCAACAGAGATTAAGTGACCCTATTATAGGACCCTGGGTGCCTATAGGATAGTCATTATAGGGTGCTTCAACCTTTGCTGGCTATAGGGTCTGAAGGTTTCCACTGATTCGTCCTGCGCTCCGATGCATGAGTCATGTAGACTCTTGATTCATCAACCCACCCCATCATGTTTTTGAAGAACCCTTTCAGGCTTGGGGGGTGAGCTCCAATCAAGAGTCTATATAATATGTCTACCAGCACCCTCCAACAGGTCTCCTCTGGAGGCTTTTTGACTTGAAAGTCGCAGGTGGTGACCTGTTGGAGGGTGCTGGTACATTAACCCTATAGAAGTCCAGTTCGACGATATTTTGACCAACTGGAGGAAAATAAGGGCATTCCACTCGGGTCATCGTCAGACCACCGCGGTTCCCAGACACGACCAATTAATGGGACTGCGATAGTATCCATAGTACTGCCGAGAAACGGCCAGGCGTGGTGGTGCCAGGGGTGTCCATGTCGGCATTTTTATGGCAGTCCCATTTGGAGTGTTTGGGTGTGCGCCCCACTCACAACAAGACCTCGCAGTCCGTCGCTTTCAGGTACCGGTTCGGTATCGCGGAGTTGCTGGGAGCCATCGGCGAACTGCCTCAGAGCAAGAGTCCATGGGTGGTCCTGAAGCGTATTCAGCGGACGTGGTGGTAGGACCCGAACCATAGAGCTACGCAAGGCTCTTTGGATGGGTCGTGACTGGAGCCCCAAGATGTGGCGCCTGGACCCACATAACAAGTCATTCACAGACATAAGCCGCCCTATAGGGACTAGGGATCCACTGCCACCTTCGAAACGAAGGTACGACTGCGCGAGATGTGTCGAACACATCGCCGATCCGTAGGGAAGTGGGCCGTGACACGGGCCTCCCTTTGACGTTCACCTATGGCCCATTGATACCATACAGACCACGTACTCACAAGATCTGACAACACCTACAAGAGGCAAAGCCCAGCCGGCACCTGGTGTCGATGTTCAGCACGGTTGGCGGAACATGTTCAGGCTGAAGTGGGCGAGATCCAGCGGGAATTTGGACATGGAGATGTTCACAAGCAATTTGTGTTGAGCTTATCATGAGCTGTTGATGAACAACTGGAGTTGGCCTCCGTGAAAAGCGACCGGTGAGCAGGGCGTGTTTGATTTCGAGAGCTGTCCGCTGGATGGCAAAGGTGACCATTGTGGAAGCATAGATGGCCTTTTAATGCCTTTTATCTCCTTTTGCAGGTTTAACATCCTTGATTTATAGAGGTGATACCGCCAAGTGATTAACCTGGCAAATGCGTAAGTGACCCTGCTATTATTCCCAAAAGGGCATCATCGTTTGGAAGAGGCTCGCAGTGTGCAGGACATTCAACCCCATGACCCCGAACTGAGTCGGGCTACCCCGCTGGGCGTGGGCGCCCGTGGTACGAAATGGTACGAATTCCCGTGGTACACTCTGGCGCACTAGGTCATGTTCTTTCACATCACTTGGTGCATTTCAGAAGTGTATCCTTTGATTCCCTTAGATATGCATGGCAGTGTATGCTCGTGTGATGTAGTTTGTTTTTCTATGTTTTGCTGTATATATTGGCCAGGGAGGTTTGGTGATGGCTCCCAACACAAAGGGCCACCACCAAGGCACAAGGACCAAGCGAAATGCCAAGGTCTTGCGCCAAATGGTGCGAGTTGTGTTTTTCCATCAAGTTGCATTCTTTCAACCCATTAAAGCCACCTGTCCACTCAGATGCTCCCAGAGGATTCAGATCCGATCCCTCCTGAGGGTCCAGCGTCACGGTTTTGCATGTCAATGTCTTTCAGATAGGAATCAACATGAGCCAAACCAGCAGTGTGCAGGTCCTGCATGTGGTCTCCGTCTCCGCCCTGCTCCGCCACATCTGACACCTACACCCCCCCCATGTCGCTGAGGACGGAGGATATGGGTCACCTCCGAACTTCGTGACCGGCAGGAGGCTCGGGGGTAATCCGGAATCTGACGTGAAATGCATCCATTTCGCACCCGTGAATTGCACGGCATGCTCCGACGTCCAAGTCGTGTGTGGAGACACAGCTGCTCATGATTCATGGCTTTGCATGGAGGTTAACTTAACAGATATCAAAGGTAAACATGGTCTCTTGCGAAGGCTTGGCGCCGCCGAAGGCATTTTCTGCCCAGATAATACTTGTCTCACACCTTTGATGATTGTCGACCCCCATGCATTGCGCGATGCGCTATTTTTGCTTGGGCTGGCTGGTGGTTGCGGCAGTGGGGCAGTCGTGCCTCCACCAGGAGTGTGAGGATGGCGCCTTGCTACAGCTTTCGCACGGACTTGCCCAAAATTCCACCCAGGATTCTTGGCGTGAAACCATGTCGGTGGCGTTTTTGGTGAACTGTTCTGATTACATCCCAGTCGCCACCAAAAACCACAGGCCAGTCGCCACCAAGGTCGCCAAGCAGGTGGGAGATGAGTGCACCTCCGATGCGGAGTGTGAGACTGGCATTTGTGCACTCACCTGGTATGGCTTTGCCAGCCGGGAATACGCTGGCGACTTCTTCGATGGATACGCGCTGAAGGTTGGGGGGAGAAAGGGTCGATTTCATTGCAGCATAGCGCAATCCTTCGGGCGCCGTCCCTTTGGGAATTGGCCGAAAGCCCGGTACCGCGCACCGGAGCTGGCGATGCACTCAGGCCTGCCAGCTCAAGTTGCAGGAGTTCAAGATTGAGCTCACCCGGAAGCGGAACATCAAAGGACTACATGGCGCTTGCTTTTCTGCCCATGCCAGCAGCACGGATTTGGGGTGGTTATTGGATGGAACATGATGGAACATACCCTACACCTCCAAGTCCAAGTACCTCCTCAGAAGGTATGACTGGACCCTCCTGGCACCCACCCCAGTCGCGCCTTCGAAACGAAAGTACGACTGGAGGCCAAACGGGATAGTCAGTCTACGGGGTGTAGTCTATGCTAGATCTTCAGTCCGGCACTTTTACAGGGTCCGGCGCCGGACTTCCAACTCCGGCGTTTTTCTGGATTTGGTCCGGCAGTTTTTCCAAGTCACTTTATGTGGATTCTCAAGGCTTTGCATTCTTTGTGGTCCGCATTTCTTTGAAGGTAAATCCACTACTGACGAATAATTTTGCTTGAAAGTGTGCTCGTTTGCCCGTTCCGCGGTTTTCCCATTCCACCGGCTTCAGCAGTGGCTCACACTGGCTCAATCAGATCCGTTTAGGTGATCTTCTGTATAAATGAGATCGATACAGTGCGATGATGTGCGATGCACGTGTTGAAAGACGCAAGTGGGTGTACCTAAGCTGAAAGAATAATGTATTCCCATTGTCATGAAAGCTAGCGAAGCTAGCTGGAGTTACTCTTGCGATAGCAAGGTTTCTTTCGACCGGGTGCAAATCCTAACCCCTGATTTTTCAGGTCGAACCCCCCCCCCC